TTTATAATGTCTTGTCTCTCCAGAAAAAGGTAACCCTAAACACATCAAGCTTTACCATTAAAAGCTTTTTGATACCTAACCTTGAATGCCTTGTTTAATATCATTTTGATGAGAATCACTGAACCCTTTAATGAATGTTAAGAGCTAGTTGACTGAAAGTTAGTTCTAAGTGTGTGGATTTTCGCATGACGGATTAACGGACTAGTTATGTTTGTATTTTGGTGAGAATTTTCTAGACTTGATCTGATTGATGCATTGTCCATAATTAAGGTCTAGAAGTATGGTTGCTGATATTTTTGAGTTTCCTCTCATTTTTTTTGAATGATATTTTTCCAAATTAGATCTTGTTTTGTTTGAGGACAAACAAAGTCTTAAGTCTGTGAGAATTGATAACACCGTATTTGTATCCATTTTCACCATTGATTTCAAATGCTTTTTCAAAGGTTTTAATCAGTTTTAAGAACTTTTATTTTAATTTCCATGTATTTATAGTTTCAAGGCACTTTTCAGGAAACTTAGGGAAAATGATGGCAAAATGAAAGAAATCCACTTTTTCAACTTAAAATCAGACCGTCAGAAGTTCAGCCTCAAATGAAGACTTTCTCACCGTCCGATCCAGCTCAAATTTGGAGACAATCAAGCGGAGACAACCACCTTTCCATAGCACTTTACATCGCGAAGATCCAACAGTGTAATCAAAAGATACATGGAAAACACGTTGACCCAATTCACTGATCCCGGAAGACTCTCACCCGCGGTAAACATGCATTTTACCTGCGCTGGAAGACTCTCACCCCCGGTGAACATAAGGACGAGCCACAAGGCCCAACATCAAAGCTCACTTCGCCATTCCTTTTCAGAGAAGCCCTAAATGAGACTTGGAAGAGCCTAGGACTTATAAATACATTTCTTAGCAGTCATAAACAGGTGTATGATCCTGTAATGAGATTTTGAGCCACCAAACTTTTTTTTTCTAGGGTTAGGCGATGGAGATGGGGATTCTTCCCCAGATCCATTGTTCTTTCTCCTTTCTATCTTATTAACTTTTCTGTTTCATCTTTTGCATTCTTCCATGCCTTTTATCATTCCTTGCATCATGTATATTTGTCCTAAAGGGTCAAGTTGTTTGAAGAGTTTTAGATAGGCATACATATCGATTAGGATTTTTAAGTTTCTAAACCATATTCTGGATCTCATCTCTTTTAAGTTTTTCAATTGCATGAAAGTAGATTCATGACCTATTCTCTGAGTCTAGGATCGATCAGAGCCACGAGAGTGCTGTATCAGATCATCCATACCTAGCTTCAGAAGAACATAGTCGCTGTAGGAGCCGAGAACTACCTATAGAGAAGATGTGAGCAGAAGAATTCAATGTCTAATGCATGATCTTATTTCTGGCATGAGAGCAAGAGTTAGTTGTCAGATCTGAGTGAGTAGTTGATTAAGATGGCGAGAGTTGGTTAATCATACATATGTCCATTCTAGTTCCATGCAGATCCCAGAAACAGATGAAGATAAATCGCCCGGAAGCTAACTGGAAATACCACCAAACATCGATTAGAGTAAACCGGAGAAGTCTAAATCGCCACCCATGAGTTTAGAGTTTATAGTTTGAGTCGATATGCTTGAGATATTCTTTTAACAATTCATTTGCATTGCATCTTATTTCTTGTGAATATTAGATTAGGTTTAGTTTATAATTTTTAACCAAAAACCCCATGAGTTTATGACTTTGCTTACTTTCCTAATTTGTTGTTTCTCGCAGATTATGCACCCTTCCTGTGGATCGACACCCTAAGTCCTACAACGTACATCTGTGCACTTGGAGACACTAGGATTTTATAAATTTAAAACTTTTTGAGGACCAACGGGCTTGTTAAAAACAAACCCTAGGTCCGCAAGCCCATCAAGTTTTTGGAAAATTCAAAGAGAACGAAGATGGAGAAATCGAAGAAAAATAAAGATGGAGATGGAGAAATCGAAGTAAAAGAACTATATCGATGTCGACCACTTGCCGGATTCTACGCCAAAACAATCTCTCACGACTCGATTTGAATTTCTTTTTGAACTGTCTTCGATTTTAATTTCAGTAAACAAAAAGAGTCAATAAGCCGAATATTCATAGAAAGCATCAAAATTAAAAAAGTAACACTGATGTGACATAATTTCTCCATCACTGTTTATATGAGAAGGTTATATTACCATTTACCCCTCGTCTCCTTTCTTCTTTCAACATTTTTTCTCTACCTTCCTAAAGAAAAGAACAAGCATTTCTCTTTCTTCTTTCTTAGAATTTCGTTTTCCTTTTTTCTTTCTACTCTTCTCTCTTTCCTCTTTTCTTTATTCAGCAACCAACATTTTTTTAAACCCACAGCATTTTTAAAATTTATCTGGACAATTCTCAACAATTCGGTACAAAATCATACAAAGAACTGGGTGAAAATTTGGTAAAAATCGGACAAAATTCAGTTAAGTTATAAAAACCAAGATGATGTGGATATATTTTATAGTATCAAGTTACATGGTATTGTAACATATTAAAAGTTATTGTATCATGTAAAATTTATAAATTTACTGCTAACATTTTGATTAGTACGATAACATAGTTGTTATCGGTTAACTTTCATGTTTTTTTTGTTGGAACATCAACCTTTTTGTAGATGTGATGATTTTGTAACAAGTTATATTTGATTGTAACACGTTAAATTATATATTGTAGCTCTATCATTTGTTTTAACACGGTAGCTTAATCATTTTCTGTTTAACTAATATATTATCTCTAATTGTTAACATGTTATTGTATGGTATAAACGTTTAGATATAGCTATAACTTTTTATTTAACAAGATAACTAAAATCTTGATTTTTTAACTTTCAGATTAACGTATCAATATTCATGAGAAGAATATTGATTCTACAATTTATCTTCAATCACCAGAAAACCTAATGTATGAATGAATAGTAATCGCTATAAACCCAGATATCAAAATTAATTTAAAATCTCAGAAATTTTACACCTAAAACTCACTAAGAAAACAAAGACAATAGAAGATTGTATTTGATTGAGAAGAAAAGGTTCTGAGAGAAATGAGAAAAATAGACGAGAGAAAGATGAAGAGATAAAGGAGAGAGAAAGAGAAAAATGGGATGTAAAAGAGAGAAAGGAGAGAGAATAAGAAAAATGAGAGAGAATGAAAGAAAGGGTATAATGAAATTTTAAAAATATAAACAGTAACAAAATTTCTCTTCGTTACTTTTGCAAATACGACATTAATTTGAGTTAAAGGATGCAAATACTCAAACAAAAATAGGGTAAAGGGAAATATGGTAAATACAAGGAACATAGATCGGATCGGGTTTTTTCGAGGTGGGTTATCGAATACCCAAGTCCAATTGTAAATAATGCGACTTTCAAGGAGAGGGTAGTAAACAGATCGGTTTTGGCTATTTAAAATAAATCAAAACGTAATTGAATACAGAGACAATGACATTTGAGCTCTTTATTTAGCGAGTTGTGGCATTTTATCATTTGATTCACGGGAGTAGATTAACTATCCATATGTGATTTGAGTTTTAAATATAATCTATCAAACTTCTCTTGTTTCACTTTTTGATTTATTTGATTCTTGAATCCTTGCGAATTATATGATACCTAGCTAGCACCTTTCTCGACTAATTTTATCCAACGCTTATTTAGTTGTTTTGAATTTATTATTTTTGTCACTGTTTACAGCCCACAAACAACCGAATATATTTTTGTCTTAGCTTAATTCAATTCCATATATTTCTAGATGGATTCGACCCGTAATACTACTGTTTGCGTATAAGCTCATAAATGGTACTATGTTTGCAAAGACTAATTCATCAATTAAAACCTGAGCACATCATTCTTTCACTCTATTAACTGTCTTTTTTTTCTTGTCCTTAACGTTGTGGTTAGTGGCAGAAGCAGTTTGTAATGAGGAGGGTCAACTGATCCAGGTCAATTTCTAAAAAAAAGTTATATATACTTATATATTTGGAAGGAAAAATAGTTGATATTGAAAATTTAGTTTAATGACGGCTATAAAATTTTCTCAGAATACATTATAAATTAAAATTGATCTGATAAAATTTTTGGCTAACTTCGTCACTGGTTGGGGTCTTGTGTTGTTTTTTAGTTGTTTATTGACTTAAGTATGGGAGAGCCAACCAAACACCTCATCATCGTATTTTATGGGTTTTGACGTTCCTTTGTTTCCTTTTTATTTTTTTAGGAGCCTTTCCTTAAGAAGAAGAAAATGCCTCAAACAAATAGCCATGAAAAAACTATTATTTCATGGTTATGCGTATCATTTTACTAAAAATAGATTACATATAAATAAATACATATAATGCATATTGTAAATATTTAAAACAAATAGGGGATACAATAGAAAAGAAATATAGTAAACGAAGAGTTAACAAACAACTTTTAAAAATTATGTACAGTTCAATAATTACAATTTTTTTCTCATACTTTAATTTCAAAAATTTCTTATTATACTTTTTTCATTTTATATATCTATAATTTTATATATAAGAATATTAAAATCTAAACCTTATGAAAATATATAAATTATCTATAAAAACATAATATTATCTGTGATATTAATTACGTTGTTACATATATGATAATGAGAGTAGTATTTTGATTTTTTTTTAATTTGTTAAAACATGAATATAAATTAAAGTTCGTTATTAGGATGACCCAAAATTGTATACTTTTAATATAAAATATAAACATTTTGGGGTGATTATTCAGAATTCATAAATATAATATGAAAGAATCATCTATGTTGTATTTTTTCGTAACAACGGAATGATGGAGTCTATTTTGGGACATGAAATTGCCAAAAAAACGGAGAACAAAGTAAACTAAATAAAGGAAAGGACAAGAGTGGGTGTTTTCACGGAAAGCACGCTATTGAAGCTGTCAACATGAGTTGTTTTGATCATGCATCTTCACCTATTTATCTATTGAGATATATTTTGCTTCTTTTTTTTGAATCTGGAGGAGGAAGAGGTGATCCAGACCCCGACATAGGAGGAGAATCCATCGCATGAGATGCCATTTTCCTCCTGGTAGGGGTTTGGTAAGCACACGTCTCCTAAGTCTGGTAATTTAAGGTATGTCGGATAAATCTTCATTTAAGAATTTATTTTTTCGGTGGTCTTCATTAGTTGTATCTTGGATGGGTTTAAATTTATTAAGAATCCAATTTATAAGTTCTTATTTGGTTTCTGAGAAATTGAAGAAGATTGACATCAAGTATTACATTACTGTCTCATATCGAATTATAAGCAATCATACATTCATTGCAAGTATTCACAATCATCTATAACATGTTGTAAACAACCAGCCTTTTGTTTAATATCTTTTTCTGACCACTATTAGGATTTTTTTGGGTCGGGATCTATTAGGATTCTATTATAGTTTTGAATATTTCTTCAACCAAATTGGTGCAATTCGTATTTTGTATTATAGTTTAAAGTTAAAAGAACATCTTAATCTCTTAGACATTCAAAAGTTTTCTATTAATTTAAGCCAAGGACTAACCAGAAATGCTTTTTGTTATTGATAATTAATCCTATGATTAAAACACTCTATATTAAGTTTACTTATAATTGTTTTTCTTAAACTTTCTAGGTTTTGAAAAATGGAAGACTCAAACAGGATATCATCAAACACGGAAAATATTGGATTCATTGGAAAAGAATCAATGGTTCCCAAAAAAATTCCGGGAAATAGCATTGCTCCTCCTAGTAATATGCACCACCACAGTGCTTCTTTAGATAACCTTCTCATAGAGGAGCAACCAGCTTGGCTCGATGACCTCCTAAGTGAACCAACATCACCAAAGATGAGCAAGGGTCATAGGCGTTCAGCTAGTGACACATCTGCTTACTTAAACTCAGCTCTAATGCCTTTTAAGCAAGATGAAATGAAAAATCATGTTGCTGGTCCTTCATGGCTATTTCAGAACATCAACCGTCATGAAGATCTGTGGCAGCCTAAGTCTCATGAGAAACACGATAAATCGGGATGGGAATTATCTACCACAAATGGAACTAATCTCCAAACACATGTGTCATGGGGAGCTGTAAATAAAGTAAGTACTTCGGCGTCGAAATCAGCTGGCAAAATGAAAGAAGGAGGCTCTGCAAAACCCGATGGTTCGGGATCAAAGACTGACTCAAAGCGTATCAAACAGTAAGGGCTCTTATTCTTGTTATGCATGGTATGATGGTTAATTATATCATCATTATTAAAATAGGCATCTTTATATCTTCCATAAAACTTACAATGTCATCCTTTTCTGATGTGGATTATAGTAATTTATATTTCTTTTGGATGAGTTTCAACGTTGCTTGCACTACTCATCTCACCTAGTCCACATGGTCATATATGTTCTGTTTATTGCGTCATAATAATTTCTAAAATCACTAAAAATGCAGTCAAAATGCTCATCGAGCACGTCTGAGGAGGCTTGAGTACATATCAGATTTGGAAAGGACCATCCAAGTGCTACAAGTAAGATTTTAAAACGAGTGTATTCCTTGAGGTTCTTTAATTTTATTACCAATTTAAAACACTAGTTATATTTTACATGATGGAGTATTCTTCAACAGGCTCAGGGATGTGAAATGTCATCGGCGATTCATTACTTGGATCAGCAGCTAATCATGCTTAGCATGGAAAATAGAGCTCTCAAACAACGTATGGATAGTTTAGCAGAAATCCAAAAGCTTAAACATGGTAAATAATCTTTAAGCTCCAATAAAATGACTAATAAAAAATCCCATAATGTGTTTGTTAGTTTGCTTGTGAATTTGTAATATTTTGGTGGCTGGTACAGTCGAGCAGCAATTCCTAGAGAGGGAGATAGGAAACTTAAAGTTTCAACAGCACCAACAACAACCACAACAGAACCAGAAACCAATGCAACAAATGCAGCAAAACCGATACAACAAATATCGGCCACCCCCTACACAAGAACCTGAATCCCAGTTTGCAGCCTTGGCAATATGATTTAGGGAAATCCGAATCCATTACCAGTATAATAATATGCTCTATAAGAGCTATTACTTTTTTTTAATGTTCGTACATATAGGTAAACCCAGTGATACTTGATGTCTTCAGAATTATTAAGCAAATCATAATAATGTATATCACAATGTGGATGATCACATTTTTTTCTTTTGCATTTCTATGTTTATGACATATTAGTGAATCTACTACCAAGAAACAACTTCTTTCATTGTAACTTGTAAGTCTACTCATTTATGTTTTCCCCAAATTGTCAGTTTACTTTTGTTATATAAATATATATATATATGTATATATATATATGTGTATATATATATATAAAGTGTGAATTAATAGACATAGAACACCTACTAATTAACTCCTTTGAAAAGACAACATATGGTGAAAACAATGATGAAGTCATGTGAAATATGAAATATGAAATATTAATTAACTACTTAAATACTCTATCTATGTGAAATATCCACATTTTTATGATTTTAACCAGATTTTTAGTTATTTATTTTAGTATTTTTATTCAAATTTAAGTAATTTTCTGGTGTTTTTTTAATAGAAGTTTAAAAAAAAATTTAGGTTATTTAAACAAAAAGGACAAAAAAGAACAAAACAAGATATTGGACAGTTTTCTAGCATGAGATGTCTAGCATTCTTTAAATGACTTTTTATCGATTGATCAAGATAGAGAAACTAGTCAGTTTTCATTTGGACATGATATTAAGTCAATCAACCAATTCTTGTAAAGACATGTCAAAGAAACTCAATAATGGAACAAGTGCAGAATGAAATTCAGCTAAAGAGAAATGTACATAGGCACCCATTCTCACGGTCGCGGCATGAGACTGAGGTCCAGCTGCTCAGCCTGAGAGGAAGCCACTACTTGCTCGTTTTTGAAACCTTAATTTCTTATTATGATAAAGAAAAACCATAACCGACCTCTAAAACCCTAAAACCTATAACTGCACTTCTTCTTCATATTTTTAGGGGGACCTCCGCGATTTTACAGCCACCACCTCTAAAACAAACACTATAGCCAATAATATCTTATAGTTCTTAAAGTTCTTATTGCTTAAGAGAAAAAAAAAAAATCCATCTCTTTGTACCACCTAGAAAAGATTTCTAAACCCTTATCCTTTTTAAACAAAAAAAAAAGAAAACCCTTATCCTTTTACTCTATTTTATTATGAATTTATATTCATCTATTGTGTTCATTTTCTTGATTATGACTGAGTAACTTTTGGGCTGAAAGGTTTGCAAAGGGGATTCATAGATTGATCACTAGGTTGTGAGATTTAGGATTACCTTTAGATTTTTTTCATCTGAATTCATAATTGGCCATCTAGCAACATGTCATAGGTTAATTTGCTCATCGAAGATATTAAATTTCATTAATTAATTCAGATAAACAAATATCTTTAGACTGCAGGATTTGATCTAAAGTATTTTTGTGAAGTTATTAAACTAGTCGTTTTAAGCTTATTCATATACTTAATGTATAAACTGGACTTTGGCAATGTAAGTGGCTAGATTTCGTGATTACTATTGCAGAAATACGTTAAATTTTGTTAGTGGTTTGAGTTCTAGCAAATCTATTGAATTTTCCTATTTAATTTATTGATTAAATTGATCCGTAAAATAATGCTGCTAGAGTTAAATATCACAGAAGAAGTTTTAAATTTGTAAAACCTAGTGATCTGTAAGTGTACAGCAGTGCAATGTAGTAATTAGAGTGTCGATCCACAATAATAGTTATCTTTTCTGCAAAAGTTTCAAGCTGGGATTAGTAAACGAATTCTAAGACTCAAGGAAATTTTTAGAAAATTTTGGTGTCACAAGAAAAGTAAAATCAATTTGAAAAAAAGGAAAAGCAGTAAACTTAATCGATATGGGTCAACAATTAAAATGAATGTTGGGCCAACAGGAATATCTTAGGGAATGTTTGATTCATGCTAGAGTTTCAAGCTCTTAAAATTGGGTTCTAGTATTTTACATAGAACTCGAAAACACATAGGTATGACTAGCTCGTTGTCATGTAAATAACCAACTAATCACTTAAACTCGATCAATAGCTTTCATCTCTAGTCACTACAAAAAAAAAAACAAATATTGTTTAAAGGTCGTCACAAAATGTTACGAACTATTATCATTCTTATTCGTCACAAACTGTTTTAACATTTTATAACGAAAATGAGTTTGTGACGATTTTATTGTGATGTTTTATAAATTGTGACATTTTCGTCACAATAGAAATTTTGTGACGAAATATATATATATATATATATATATATATATATATATTGTTACATAAAAATTGTAACAATAATCAATTTTTTTTGTAGTGAGCCCGGAGAGAGATCATGCACCATCATATTAGTTTCATCTTTGCTCACGATACTTTATAGGTAACTTTCATATCCTACAACGATTTTGTTCTCCTGAATCTATGTCTGGATAAATAATAAAACACTCTTGTGGCTTAATCTTCCTAGGATCAGTTGATAGTTTATGACTCTAACTTCATGCAAAATGAATAAACTTAGAAGAGATGAGATCTAGAATATGGCTAAAAAAACAAACAATCATAATCAAACATCGAGTCCCCTTCGATGGATCCCTTAAATCCAACAACTAATCTACTCTGGCATAATTAAAGAAAGCAAAAACATAAAAGAAGATTGCATAAACTGAATAAAAGGTTTAAGATAGAGATCTCTATTTTTCTAACCTAAAAACTAAGAAACAAACAAAAAAAAAAATTGAGTGGTAAAGTATTATGGTGGCACAGAAAATTAGGTCTTCTAAAATACATATTTATAGGTCTTCAACTCTTTTAGGTTCCTTAGAGTTTTCTTTGAAGAAAATGCAAAATGGGCTTGAAGTTGGGCCTCATGGCCGAGATCAGTTGGCTGCGGGTCAAGACTCTACAGGACTGGCCAGATGATGGTTCATCGCGGCTGCGAGCTTGGAGGCGTGGCTAGACCTGTGTTTATTGCGGCTCGGATGCAGATCAGGATGGTTGATGGGACATCTTGATCTTCATGTATCTTTAGATTGAACCTTTAGATTATCTTCAAGTAAAGTGAAATGGAAAGTCAGCTGGTTCCTTTTGAATGTCTCCAAATTTGAGATAAATTAGACGGTGAGAATGTCTTCATTTGAGACTGAACTTTCGACAGTTAGATGCCGAACTAAAAGTATGATTTTTCTCCATTTTGCAATCACTACAAGAAAACAATTGTTTTCCAACGATGCATTACGACGGTTTAAAAATCGTCGCAAACTTACAACGATTGTACGACGATTTTACGTCAAACCAAAAAAACGTCGTAAAACCGTCGTACAAAAAAGTCGTCGTAACTTAGTCGTACAATTTACGACGAATTACGACGATTGTACATCGATAACGAGAAATTTGATATTAATTGCAAAATCGTCTTAAATTAGATGTAACATTACAACGAATATACGACGACTTGTATTCGATGTAGACTTACGACGATTTTACGTCGATAAAGGAGAGGTGAAGAACATTTAAAACATGTTTACCTAACTAATGTAGAAGAAAGATTTTATCGCATAATCGACGTAAAATCGTCGTAATATTATTTTTGAATGTAAAATCGATGTAAAAAGTCATCGTAAAAGCGTCGTAAAGCCCGAAATTTTGTTATAAATAGATCTTCATTCCTTCTTTCAATCACAACACATCATCATTCAAACATAAGAGCATCATCATCCTGGAGACCCATTGTAGGTCTCTTAAACCTTAGTATAGTGTTGTAAATCCTGATATATTGGGTTGTCCATTGCTGGAAACCCGAATTAGTAATCTTTGAAAAAAAGAAGTAATAATATTAAAAGGTTTACTCCATTCACGTGGCTAGACGTGACATAAGAGACCGGCTCTTTTATTGTCTAACTAATAAAAAGAGATAGTATTTTGAGTTTATTTCAAGATGTCTATATACGAGCTAAGAAGCTGGATGTATATGCGTAAAGATTCAGATGGGGCGTTGACAGAAGAGTTCAAGAACGGGTTAGAAATATTTATGTATCAGGCTACAAATATGGAGAGAACGAAAGATAGCGAGAAGATGTTTTGTCCATGTTTGAAATGCAAGAATACGAGGTATACACTAACCAAAACCGTGTGGATGCATTTATTAAATAGAGGGTTTATGCCGCAATATTTTGTTTGGTATCTACATGGAGAAGGATATGGCAGTAATACTCATGGGAATGCTGGCAGTAGTAGTAATTATCAAAGTCATGTTGATTTTGATGAATCGAATTATGGTCATCAGCCTAATCAGTATCAATCTGATCAAAGTCTAGATCATGATAGGATGCATGAGATGGTGACTGATGCATTTCATGAAACGCATACTGGTAATATTGTTGAGGAACCTAATGTAGATGCCAAACGATTTTATGATTTGTTAGACAATGCTAATCAGCCAATCTATGAAGGATGTAGACAAGGCCTGTCTAAATTATCGTTGGCAGCTAGGATGATGTCAATTAAAACAGATCATAACCTGGCTGAGGTTTGCATGGATGATTGGGCTGATCTTCTGAAAGAGTATCTACCGGAGGATAACTTGGCAGCAGCAACATACTATGAAATACAGAAGTTGATTTTTAGTCTTGGTCTACCTTCTGAGATGATAGATGTATGTGTTGACAATTGTATGATATTTTGGAAAAATGATGATCAGTTGGAGGAATGTCGATTTTGCCAAAAACCAAGATACAGGCCGCAAACTGGTGGGCGTAAAAGGATACCGTACCAACGTATGTGGTATCTCCCTATAACTGATAGGTTAAAACGACTTTATCAATATGAAAGGACAGTTGCATCAATGAGATGGCATGCGGAACATACACAAGTAGATGGAGAAGTTGTTCATCCATCAGATGCAAAGGCATGGAAACACTTCAATATGGTATACCCATATTTTGCTAAGTTCAAACGGAATGTCTATCTTGGTCTGTGCACTGATGGTTTTAGTCCATTTGGTATGTCTGGTAGACAATATTCATTATGGCCAGTAATCCTAACTCCTTATAACCTTCCTCCAGATTTGTGCATGCAAAGGGAATTTCTTTTCCTAAGTATTTTGGTTCCAGGTCCCAATCATCC